CAGCCCAGCCCAGCCCTGACCAGCCCAGCCCAGCCCAGCCCTGCCCTGCGCTGCCCAGGCTTTACCTGAGGATGGGGTGATGGGGGTGGCAATGAGGCCGTTGGCATTGATGGCAGCCATGTGCTGCATCTGCACGGCAGCCATGGTGGCCATGGGGCTGAGGTAGGCACTGTGAGCCGCTACCAGGGCTGCCTGCTGCTGCATCAGCTGCGGGAGGGCAGTGGAAAGAGAGGAGGCTGGGCCCAGGCCCCTGTGCTCCCTCTTGGCCCCCTCCCAGCTCTGGGCCTGGGCACTGGGAGGAGTGGGGGCAGGACACAAGGGACCAGGAGGGATGGAGACGGCCCAGCCAGGGGGCAGCGCTCACGGCCTGGGTGTAGGCGCTGTAAGCTCCAAACTGGAGGGCGATCGGGCTGAACATGCCCAGCTGGGTGGCCACCTGCTGCATTCGGCGGAGACCCCGCTCCTTCTCTGTGTCAGCAAACTTCACCACCAGGCTGGACGAGGCACCCTGGGCACACAGGACAGAGGGACAGAGTCGGGGTCTCTCCTCGCCAGAGCCCTCAGACCTGGCCTCAGTGCTGTCTCTCCTGGAGGACAGCCAAGGTTTTGCCCAAGTCAGACGGAGAAGTTTAATCCCCCCGGTGGGTGCCGGGATGTGTCAGAGGCTGGAGAAGGCTGAGGAAGGTGAAGACGTGCGCTTGGAAAGTGAACCCAAAAAACCAAATCGGTTGCCTTGCAGTCAGTTCCCACTCATTGGGACCCCGGGTGCATCATAGTAGGACTGTGCTCCATGGGGTTCTCAATGGCTGACTTTTCAGGAGTGAGTAGATCCACCAGGCCTGGGCGGACTCGAACCTCCAACCTTTGGTTAGCAGCCGAGTGCTTAATTGTTCACACCAGCCAGGAACCCCTTGCAAAGTGAACCAAAACCAAACCCACTGCCATCAAGTTGATTCTGACGCATAGCGACCCTATAGGACAGTGTAGAACTGCTCCATAGAGTTTCCAAGGAGCGCCTGGTGGATTTGAACTGCTGACCTTTTGGTTAGCAGCCGTAGCCCTTAACCACTACACCACCAGGGTTTCCCTGAAAGGTGTAAGGCCTGTAGAAATGGAACGGGCATCGCTGGAATTCCGTGAGGATTCTGAGCTGGATGTCACCCCAGCAAATGTGTAACCTCAGGCTGGTCCTGCCAGGTAGCCGCCCCACCTCCTTCACCATGATTCCCACCTCCACACCCCAGCCCTCACTGTGTGCTCAGAGAAAGTGGCCTCAAATTTAAACACCAGCCTGAGCCAAAGAAGAACCACACTGGAACATTTGCAAGGATTATCCTCGAATCAGAGCGAGAAGGGACCTAAGGTCATCTAATGCGGGTCTCTACCTGAGGCTGAATCCTGCTCAGTGCTTGTCCAGCCCCTGCGGGAGAATCTGGGGATGTGGGAGCTCACATCCCTAGTCCCTCGGAGCCAGCTAGCTCCGTCTGAGAGCCTTGCTCTGTGGGGGAACCTCCGAGAGTGGGGTCAGCTGGCACCGACGCTGATGTGGAGGGTACGCGGGTGCGTGGACAAGTGTCCCGATGCCCCAGCCAATGAGGGCGGGGGGATATGGGAAGGCGGGAGAAAGGACTGGCTGAGGCCAGGACGAAGAGGGATGGAGCAGGCAGGACAGGAGGGTGAGACCTCAGCCTGAAGATCAGGGCTAAGGGATGAGGGTGGGAGGCGGGGAGGTGTTATTTAAAATACGAGGGTGTCCCTGAGCAGTTTGATTCTTCTACCAGAAAATTCCTTTCAAATACCTTCAAGGAGCCTAGCCTGAGTGGAGTGTCCCCTCTGGGCCGGGGCCTGGCATGGGGGACGCAGGGCTGGAGCAGCCCGGGTGGGGGCGGGGACTCACCGGCAGGGTCCGGCTGCTGTGGAGGGTGCTGATGGCCGCCTGGGCCTCGGCGTGGGTCTGGAACTTCACGAAGGCGCAGCCTAGCGCGGTCAGGGTGGAGGAGGAAAGGGGTGAGTGCCCCCCGAGAGCCCCCAGAGTCCCCATTGCCCAGGAAGCCAGGGTGGAGGGCCGGGAGGGCACGCAGGCCCCGCGCAGGAAGGGGAGGGAGTGGGCTACCTTTGCTGGCGCCGTCGGGGCCCCGGAGCACAGTGCACTCGGCTATGGTGCCGAAAGGCTCAAACATCTTCCGCACGTCCTCATCTGTCTGCTGCTTCCCTAGCATCCCCACAAAGAGCTTCCGGTCTTCTGGGGGGTTGGGGCGCAGAGGAGGGCGTGTTTAGGGCCTTCCGGCTGTCTTCCCAGCCCTGTTCCTGCTTGGGATAGGCCTGAACCCAGGCCTTCACCTTCAACTTTTCCCTGGAGTTCAGACACCCCCACCCTGGGGACCAGTGGCTGTAGGGTGTGAAAGGGGTAATGACTGGGGTGGACGACAGTTATGGAGTGCTTGTCCCAGCTCAGAAGGACTTAGGCTGCATGCTGGGTCTCAGTTTTGCCATCCTGATAATGGGCCAGATGCCACCCCATCCTTTACTGGGAGTCCTTCCAGTTGTCAGACTGTCTTCCTTGAGAAAAGCTGTCCCCCAACTACTCCTAGGCCCAGGATGGCGGCAGGTGAGAGGGGCTGAGTCCAAAGGTACAGAACCTACCTCCTCGGTTCTCGCTGTCGGCTGGCTTGACCTGGATCGGCCTGTTCATCTACAGGAGAGAAGAGAAGGCAGCTGCTGGGGACTCCCCTGAACACCCCAAGAGCCTTCCCCAGGCCAGGACCTGCAGGGAGGCCCACAAGAGCAAACCCCAGGCCCTCTGTGTCTCTGAGAAAGGAAGGAAGAGGGCCTAATCTTGGGTAGAGTTAGGACCCAAAGGGATTAGAGGCAGTGGAAGGAGAGGAAATCAGAAAGGGTTCTCCTAGGGCACAGCTCCAGGCTCAGGCCGGGCCCCAGATGACCTGGCCAGGGAGGGACAGGTGCTGCCCCCTTGGGGGGACAGTGAGGCTCGCCATAGGACTTGGGTCCTGAGATGGAGCCCAACCAAGAGCTATTCAACAAGAGCTGCCTCAATTCTACAAAGTAGCAGCAACTGAGGCCACCCCATGAAGGAGCCCCAAGGAGCAGTGTAGACTGAGGGAGCCCCCACAGATGTCCCACTCCCTTCTGACCCCTAGAGGTATGCCTGCTTCTCTTCCTGCCCCCGACACCCCCTGACCCCAGGGGGAAGGCACTCCGGCAGGACAAAGGGAGCAGATGCCCAGTCTCCGTGGCAACGGGAGAATGCGCGCCATGGCAACCGCCCACTCAGCCTGATTTATCCGTCCCCGTCGTCCTGGCGACCGTGGTGACGTCATCACTTCTGCCTCTCCACACACCCGGAGAAGGGGGGGTGGGAACGGGGTATGCTGGGGGTGGAGGACTTGGTGGGGGCTGGGAGGTGGGGGAGGGGCCCGGAAAAGCTTCCTGATTCTGGAGGGAGACTGCAGAGCGGGCCCTGCGGGGGGCACGTGTCCCTGCCCCTGCCCTCCCTGGTCCAGACCAGACCCTTGGTGTCTCTCTGGAGCAGAGACGTCTCTGGAGGAGACTCTGTCCAACCCTTAGTGGTTCTTCCTGTACATGTGAGTCCCCCAGAGCTCTAACCTCCCCCCCAGCCCACGGAACCTCCTTTTGTTCAGAGACATCCCCAGACCCACCCCCCAAGTTCCCGTCTGGTGAGAGGACTTGACATCCCTCCTGCAGGTTGATTTCCTTAATCTGGGTGGGAGCTTCTCAGGAACTAGAGAGGGAGGGGAAGGATTCAGTCTTCGGTGTCTGAAAATACTTGGCTATTGACAACTCTGACCCTTGGGGCCACACCTAGTCACCCCACTCATCTGATGGTGGGGCAGGCAATCCTATTTCCAGTGACATAAAATCAAAAAAACCATTCATCTACATTCTGAGGGTGGAGCTAAAGGTACCCTCAGGAAAGGCGCTGGACTGGGAGTCAGGAGACCTGGGTTTGAGGATGGGCCCTGCCACTCACTAGCTGGGTGACCTTGGACCAGTCACTTCTCTTCTCTGGCCTCACCTTCCTCATCTGTAACACCAGGGTGGGTCCCACCGTCTCTAGTCGGGTTCCTTCAGCTCTAGCATTCCAGCATTTGGAATCTCGTGTGTCATCCTCACTTAACACGAAGAAGCCCCACCCCTTCCCACACTGGACCCGTCCCCACGTGTCAGGTCATACCAGCCACTATCACGCAGTTAGGCCAGCCCTGCTCCAGCTGATACTCCTTCCCTGGGACCTGACCCCAGATCTCTGGATCCCAGAACAGCTGGTGGGGCAGAGATTGTCCCCCAGCCAATCTGCCCCGGCTCTATCTTCCACCAATCTGGGATTATCCCATCTGAGGTTAAATCTCTTTAGGAGCTCCTGTGTGTGTGTGTGGGTTTGTACTCTGCTCCAGGAGCCCTAGTGGTGCAGTGGTTAAAGCACTTCGCTGTTAACCAAAAGGTCAGCAATTCAAACCCACCTGCCGCTATGTGGGAGAAAGATGTGGCGGTCTGCTTCCGCCAAGATTGACAACCTTGGAAACCTTAAGGGGGCAGTCGACTCGGTCGCATAGGGTCACTGTGAGTTGGAATCAACTCCACGGCAATGGGTTTGGTTTTCGCATGTCGGGCAAGGCAAGGGGTAGGGGTCAGACGTTCAGGGGCTCTTGGTCTTTCACGCTTCCTTCTCTCCTGTGCTGTAGCCAAAGCCATCAGGAGGTTCCCTCACAGACACCCTTCAGCAGCCATCCCTGCCCGTGGAGGTGGGAACAGAACCAGGGCCTCAGGGTTGGGGGATTCTTACGCTTGGCACTAACCCCTTCCCACCAAGCCCGTAGGATAGGGAACCTGGGACCCAGAGAGACAGGATGCCGGTCGCTCCCTACACAGGCTGCCAGGCACATAATTAACATACCAGTAAACGCCCACAGCTGAAATGAATTCAAAGACACACACACAAGTGTACAAACCCATGCTGATGGCAGATCCCCCCACGCCATCACAGACAGCCTGGCTCGGTGCCCCCAGTCCCAGGGCGAGTAGCCAATAGGCAAGGTAAGCACGGTACTTACCTTGCTTACCAGACCATCTGTAGTGATGAGACCCACGGGAACTTGTTCACTACAGATTAGTAAGTAAACACAAGTAAGCCCGTGCTTACCTTGCTTACCGGGTCATCCGCCCCGTCAGGGATTGTAAATTTGAAAAGAGGCTTTGATTCTGTAGGAAGGCGATGTGGAGTTGGGAGAGAGACACATGCCAGCCATCTCTAGAAGCAGAGTCTCTGATGTGGTGAAAAATATGTGGAAGTGTTCACTACAGATGATCTGGTCAGCAAGGTAAGCACAGAGCTTACCTTGCCTACTGGATAATCTGCCCCTGCCAGTCCCCATCCCCAGCCTCGCTTTCCTTGGCCTGGCACTTCATGTGGGAAGCTCAGTCTTTATTAGCTCAGCTTGGGCACACCTGCCCCCTCCCCTGAGTCCAGCTGTGCCCTGTTTACCTGGCGACTAGCACCAGGCGCCTCTCTTCCCTAGCTACCACCTGCCAGGTGATAAGCCCTCCCTAGGGCCTCCCAAAGAAGAAGGGGCTATTTATACCCCAACCAAGCATCACTGAGATCCCCCCACTTTTAAGGACGGCATCCTTGTCACCAACAGCGAAGACCCCACTTCCAGGAAGAGCTAATCACTCCCACAAAACCTAATTCTCCTGAGGGCACAGGTCTGACACCTTTGCCACTCGCGGCTCCAGACTTGGGCCTAGTGTCCTGGACCACAGACCCGTCCTTTCCATGGGGCCAGAATCCACCCGCCCAACAACACGGCGACAGCAAAGGCCCAGGTCCCCAGAGGGGGATTTTGGTCCAGGTGGAGGGGCAAGGTGGGCCAGGCTGGGGAGCTGCTCATCACCACAACCTCCAAGGGGCCACACCCTGCTTGCAGGACAAATCCAGAGGCCTATGGCAGAGCCACTCCTGGGAACTCTTGGAGGAGAGAAAAGGAGGTGAGGCTAGGCAGCCCCAGGCCTGGCCCCCATTCTTCCTCTCTGCAGCCCGCGGTATGGCCCTAATATGGTGGCACCTTCCAGATTCGGGGGTGACCAGACAGGAAGAAAGGAGAGAGGGCTAAATGCCAATGCTCCCATTAAGAAAGAACTTGCAGGAGGAGGGCATGGCGATCAGACAGCAGGAAGAACTACCCAGCGCACCTGGTACATGAGCCGGCGCACTGTGTCCACGCAGACACAATGACTGTCGGGGGGCAAACAGCGCTGCCGGCAAGGAGGGCAGGTGGCAGGAGAAAAAACCTGGGGGAGACAAAGGGCCAGGCGGGGCTCCATCAGACATCTGCTCCCCCAGACTGCCCTTGGTCTGCTCCCCAAGTCCCCAGGATGGGGGTCCCCCTTGAAGGATAGGACCCTTCATTTCCTGCTGGAAGTCCTGTCAGGTCCCTGTGGACTCTGTCCCCTGGGGCAAGAGGCTGAAGTGGAGAACTCAGGTCGCCTGGGAGCTCTGGGGCAGGGCTAGGCAATGGTTAACCCGGGCGCCCTTCTTCCGCACCCCCACCCGGGCCATGTTTACTCAGAAGGGGAGGGGCGCCTGTCCTCACCCAGGATGGAGCCCTGCCTGAGCCAATTCAGGCAGCTGGAAGGGACAGGCCTGGGGGGGATGCCCCAGCTGACACACTTGGCCCCTGGGGCTTATGCCCACCCCCAGGCCATCTCTCACAGCCAAGTCTCCCTTTTTCTCTCTTTCCCCCTAGTCTGGTTTCTTCAGGGACTCTGAGATGGGGAGACAGACAGAAAAAGAGAGAGAAACAGCAGTGAAGATGACAGTGGTTGACTTGTGAGGGGCTCCACAGAGGAAAGGGGGGAAAGGAAAGTGGAGACGTGATACAAAGTCATGTTCACCCCCTCACGCCTGGCACCCCGGGGATGCCCACCCACGCGCCTGCATGCACACTTGTGCTCCTGGACCCCCTCCCCCAAGACTGCTTCACGCACACGCCCAGGCTCCTCACTCTGTGGAGTAATGGCTGTGCTGGGTGGTCTCCCCACGGACTGGGATAAGACCGTGGTGGAGGGTACTGGCGTTGGGATTTTCTTTCCTAGCAGAACTTGAAGGTTGAGGGACCACCATGGGGTTGGGTCATGGATCTATGAAGGGCTTGAAGTTGGGGGTGTTGAAAACCCAAAACCCATTGCCAATGAGTCGATTCCAACTCATAGTGACCCTATAGGACCGAGTACAACTGCCCCATAGGGTTTCCAAGGCTGGAAATCTTATACAGAAGCAGACTGCCGCACCTTTGTCCCGCTGAGTGGCTGGCGGGTTCAAGCTGCAGACCTTTTGGTTAGCAGCTGAGAACTGAACCACTGCACCACCAGGGCTCCTTGGGGGTGGTAAGGAGTTCTAATTTTTCTGGGTCCCCTCACCCTCTTTCCCTGTCTTGTTTTGTCTGTTTCCCTCCCAGAAGAGATGGAGAATCAGCGTCGCCTCCATCTCCCTCATGGGGGACGGAGCAGAGGTTGTGACAGATGTGTCCTCGGCACCCAGACAGCACTTAGCAAATGTTTACTGAAGGGATGGATGTGAGTGAGGTTCCAGGAAGTACTTCCTGAGCCTCACAGCCTGGGAGACAAGAGAAGCAGAGATCCCCAGAGGAGACATGCTTTCTCTCCAGTCTCCTGCCCTCGGTTGCCAGCCCTGGCCTGGGACAGTCTGAAAGCCTGGCTGAGAAGAAGAGGCAATGAGCGTTGCAGGAGGAGAGCATCTCCAGGGAGGCCACCCCTGCTCCCTGAGCACTTGGTGGCCAGGCCTGGTCTCCACAGTGGTCTCTGCTCTGCCCTTGCCTCTGCTCCACCCTATGCCTGTGGCTGTGTTCCCGTGGCTCTTCCGGGGAGACACTGAGCCTGTTTGAGCTCAAAAGCCAGCACAGAGATGCCAAGCCAGCAGGCACCAGCTGCCTGTTTCCAGGGCAGCAGGCACCCCTATCTCCCAGTTGGCTTCCTCTCCAAAGCCACAAATGCAGGCCTTCTCACCCTGACCCACCCTTGGTGTCCCAAGTTTTCTCTCCATGCCTCTCTCTAGGTGCTGCCCCACGGGCAGCTTGGGAAACGGGGAAGGGGCTGCATCTGCTTCTTGCAAAGGTCAAGATAACAGTGGTTTCCTTCTCTCCAGGTGAGAAGAAACACAAGCACCTACAGCAAGAAAGATGGATGCTGGAAAGAGAGAGGGACCTCCTAAGGAGAAAAAAACCCCAAAACCAGTTTGTTCGGTGTCAGGAGGTAGTAAGCCCCCTGGCACTTCTCAGGCCCTTTTCAGCCCCCGGGCCCTGCAAGGCCGGGACTCACCCCTGGCAGCGTCTTCTGTTCGTGCAGGGCGCTCTGGGCCTTCAGGGCTGAATCGCGGGCACAGTAGGTCAGGAAGGCACATCCTGAGGTGGGGCAGGGGCAGAGAGACAGGGTGGGGGTGTGAGTCGCTGGCCTCCCCACCCAAAAAGGCTCCCCCCACCCACCACGAGGCTGAGGACTGGGAAGCTCTTCCCTTCTGGCCTTCTTCTGCCTGCAGAGCTGGGGAGCTGTGGGAGAGGGGTAGGCATCCTGCTCCAGGGGGTTTCTGGGGGGTGAGCATGGCGGCAGAGACCTGGGGCCTAAATGGTGGTGGCGACGGTGAAGAGAGAGCGCTGGAGCTGTCTGGAGACGGGCTTTGTGTGGGGGGAGGAGAAGGGCCATGTGACCGCCAGACAAGAACCTGGACTGTTGTTTCCTGTCTTCCTTAACGGGTCTTCTTCCCCCTTTCTCCTTCACCTCCACCTCCCTCCATCTTGGTCCTCATCACCCCTCTCCTCTCCCGTTTTCCCTACTTCCTCATCTCCCCCCAACCCCACGGGGGGCAAGTGGAAGATGGAGGGTGGAACAGAGAAGCAAAGCGGGGAGCAGTTAGCCAGAAGTGCCCTTTACCTGGGCCCCGTGGAGGGAGGAAGGTAGGGTGGCCTCTCATCCCCAGTGTCTGGAGCTCTCCAGGTCCTGACCCTTGGGCCCGGGGCCTTGGTTTCAGCCCTGCTTAGCCCACCCGAGTCTTGGATAGGCATGGGAAGGTTCTTCTTTTGCCTCAGCTCCCTTAACTTTCTAAGTCCCCCACGCTTCCCAGATCTTTACCCATCTCTGTCCTTACATCCTCCTTCTCAGGCCCCTCTCTTTAATCCTGAGCTGCCCTGCCCAGTTCATCTCCACTCTCTCTGGATGGAGCACCTGACCCTGTGTCCTGAGCCCCATCCCAATACTGTCTGAGGCCACAAAGATCATCAGTCTGGCTCAGAACAGACACACACCTGCCCAGCCTCTCATCACCCAAAGCAGCTCCCTCATCCCTCCATTCTTTCACGAGTTCATCCCATGACATGAACACCATCATCTTTGGGATCCACCTCTCTGCAGCCTCAGTGACAACTCTTCACCCCAGAGAGGGTAAGTCTTGCATCCGGGAGCCCCCTGGTCACCACAGCTGAGTGAGCTCTCTTCCAGCGCCTCCATGCACACTCCCCAACCCCTGAACTCTTTGTCCTTCCATATCAGCCCTTTGCAGCCATGCCATCCCTCCAGCCTAGCCTTCCCCTCCTTTCCGCCTCCCAGCCCACCCCCGAAGCCCCTCCAGCCTGGCCTGGCTCCTCACCCTTGTGCAGCCCGGTGTACTTGTCCTTGATGACGGTCAGCTCGAAGATCCGACCAAACTGTTCGAAGATGGGCTTCAGGTCCTTTTCCTCCAGATGCCTCGGGATCTGCCCCACAAATAGCTTGATGGCATCCGGCTCCTTCATTGGGGCGGCCCAGGAGGAGGGGCCGAGGGGAGCAGGGAGAAGCCCAAAGGCCAGGGGGAGCTGCCCAGCAAGGAGGGAAGTGGTGGGGGCCGGGGGCACAGCCGGGGCTGGCTTTCCCGCTGGCCCCCAACCACACGCTGAGCAGGTGGGGGGCGGCTCTTCACACAAAGGCGGCCGAGGGAGTTGAGGGCTAGGGGTCAGGGGGCTAGGCAGACACTGTCATGCCACCAGGGGGCATAGCCTGAACAAACGATCTCCCTCCCAGAGATCTGGCAAATATCCCAGGATGGGGGTCAGCTTGGCCCAAACCTGGAGGGTCAGGATGGTAGCAAGGGCTGGGCTTACAGGGCTGGGAAGTGGGGGCTGAGGTGAGAGCTGGAGGTGGGGGAGAGGCCGGAGGAGGGCGACGGGGATGGAGGCTGAGGGGCTAGGGGCCTGATATAGTTGCCAGCCGCGTCAGTGAGGGGGCCCACTCCTGATGTGGGGCAGGTGGAGCTCTCGTTGGCTTCCCCAGGAGGACACCTCCCCTGTGGCTGATCCTTCTGCTGGGTCCGAAGATCCCTAATGCCAGATGCTTGATCTCTGATGGCGGCAGGGTTCCAGGGGTCCCTTCTGCCCTGCCGCCCCCCCTTAAGGTCCTCCCCTCAGCCCCCCTCCCACCCCCACCCCGGTCCCCGGGCCTGGGCTGCTGCCGGCTGCTCCCGCCGCTGGGGCCGCCTGCTTTCCCGGTCACCTGGGTCCCGGAGCTCTGCTCTCCGGCCGTGCTCTCCTCAACAAAAACCTCCCCCCTCCACACCCCCCTCCCCACTCCCACCTCCTTTCCCCTGACATCAGTGATGTCAGTCTCAGGGGTGGCCGACAAATTCTCTACCCTGGAGAGGGACGCACAATCCAGGCCAGACCACGCCCTCTTTCTGTCTCCATCCTCCCTGACTCCCTTCCCGCCCCCAGAAGAGCAGCTGGTCCTGTTGATAATAACCCTTCCCCCATCTGACTCCCCAATCAGGAGCTGGGCAAGGCACTAAGATGAAAAATTTACAGAGGAGCCCTAAGGTGGGGTCCATTGTTCCGGGGGCTGGAGCTGTCCCCGGTGCTGGAAGGGAAGACCCGGGAGAGGGGAGCAGGGGGGAGGAGGAGAGGGGAGCCCGGCACTTGGGGAGCCGAAGAGTGGGGAGCTCAGGAAAGAAAGTAGGGGAGAGAGAATGGAATAAGAACAGATGGGCGGGTTGGGGGGTAGGAGGGAGTGGACGAGGAGGGAAGCCGGTTGCTACAGCCTGAGGGGAAAGGGCAGAAGGGACCCAGAGAGGGAAAACGGGGAGGGGCGCGGTGAGGGCAGAGAGGAACTCTGTATTTTCCAGAAAAGGAACCAAGGAAAAGGAAAGCTTTCTGGCGGTTACCGACTCCCCCTTCTCTCCTTCTGGGGGTTTGTGTGTAAGCGTGTGGGCAGAAAGGCAGTGGGGGCGGTGAGAGTGTCCCGCCTGTAAGCTCCTTGAAGACCAGGGCGCCGTTTGAGTCCACGTTTCATCGCTCCTACTGTCTAGCAGTGGCTCATTGGTAGTCCGTGCTTAACGTGTTTCTGGAATAAACAGTTCGTGCAAAGAACCTCTGACAAGAGCAGAGATTCCCGACTCCTTCCTCGGGAATAATCACAGCTGTCAAGCTCCTCTTTAGGGCAAAGGAAACCCAGTTACTCTCTTTTGCTTCTCCCTTTGGTTGGGTTCCTTAAGTGAGGCTCTCTAATTGAGTCGGATAGCAAAGACGGATGGGGGAAGTACATTTGGGGGTTACTATTCCCCTAAACAATACTTTGGATGATTGTCTACTCCATAACCTGAGCGAGAATGACCCTCCATGTGCTTGGCCCTTCGTTGCCCCCACCCCCCACGCAGGATTATCATCATACCTCCTCAGCAGCTGCAGCCCTAGTCTTCTATAAAGTGCTCACTGACTGGGGCTCCCTGTCGTTCTCTCTGTCACCCCAATGTGGGGCTGATGTTTCCACAGTGGCACTGCATCTCTGAAATATGTCCCAGTTGGCCATTCCTCAGCTATCATGGCAGGCAGGTTCCTCTTCTGGAAGAGAAATAATAGTATCAGCCAGCACTTACATGGTACTTCCGGTGTCCTAGGCATTGTGCCAAGTGCTTTCTATTTACTAACTCTTTTAACCACAATCTTATGAAGTAGGTTCAAATAAAGACTAGGAAACCGAGGCACAGAATGATTAAACAACTTGCTTAAGGTCATGCAGCTAGTAAGAGGTTCAACAAAGAATGGTGCCTGGGCAGTCTGGCTCCTGAGTCCACACGTTTAACTCCTATGTCAAACGGTCCTCTTGGAGATGGGGGGAGGGGTGGTTATGCCTGGGTTTTCTTCCTCTTGTGTCTTCACTGGAGCCCTGGGTGAGAGACAGTCAGTCCTTCTTTCTATTGCTTGATTCCTTGTTGACCAACTTCCATCCTTCCTTAGCCTAGGCTTCTGTGGCCCTGAGCCACATTCTGGCAGGTGTGTATGTTTGAGTGTGTGTGTGTAGACATGATTATCTGTCATTGTATGGAATGCCCAGTCCTCCTAGTAAGTTCCCCTAGGATGGGTGGGGGCAAAATGGGGCGAGGACTCAGTACTGGGTGGCCAGAAGGTGTGATGGCGCAGCCAGGGAATCTAGAAGTTGGAACACATCTGGAAAGTAGCTTTCCACTCACCTACCCCACCCCCATGACTCCTTTTCTTGCCTTCTAATCTGATCTTGGTATTTATGGAGATGCTAAACAGATCATGCCCTCTGAGGATGGAGCCTAGGAAGACCCTATGGCCCGTTGATCTCATTACTCTGTGTCTTGTCAGCAGATCTGCCGCCCTGCTGTTCATTCAGGCTTGGGGCTAATCATATTAATTGAAATATTAAACATCCACAAAAATGAATTATAATGAACTCCGCCTCGCTTCTCCTCCCAGTCAGTCATTGGGGAGACAGCTGCAGGCAGCAAAATGCCTCCAATCCCTTGCTTAGTTAGTGGTCCCCAGATGGAAGGTTTCCATCTGAGAGGAGAGGCAGGGTTTAGGGGAGAAGAGGTGGGCGCTCTCGTGAGACACTCCTTGCTGGGTGACAGCGGGTGATGCTCTTTCAGGCCATGGAGGATGGGAGCCCTGTGAGACAGAGATGGGAAAAACAACCTTATGACTCAGAGGATCATGCTGGGGATTTCTCTCCAGGAGCAAAGGGGGCTTCCAAGCATTCGTTCTTCCAATGCCCTTTCTCTGCCCACTACCTCTAAGCCTTCCCTCTTTCTTACTCCTCTGCACCCAAACCTAAGCAGCCCTACGTAAAAGAATACTGACTTTATAAAAGGAGAGCTCTACTCCTGGAAATGAGAAATGTTGAATAACGTATATTTTCCAGAAAAAGCATAAAGTGGTGGTGTGAGTGGGCAGAGTGGATAGTCATCACATACTTACTAGCCTCACTAATTGGATTCAGAGTGGAAACATCTGCCACAGAATCTCTGAGAGTGTACAAAGAATTGACAACCTCCCTGCCCTCAAGAGGTCAGCCAACAAAATATGCAATAGTGAATATTATGATGTAGTCAAGAAAATAAAAGTAGATGCTCTCACTCACACACACAGGTATTTGGGCCATGGGATGGTGATCAGTCAAGGAAGGCTTGACTGATTCTCAAAGCACAAGAAGAAAATAGAATAGTAGAATGAGGAAGGAGGGGGGAAAGGAGAGCATCATATACGAATATGCACGTCTGTGTGTATGTGTGTGTGTAGGGTTGCTAGTCCAGACCAGCGCTGTCTAACAGAAATATAATGCGAGCCACATATATAATTTAAAATTTTCTAGTCACCACATTAAAAAGTAAAAAGACACAAGTGAAATTAATTTCAATAATATATTTTATTTAACTTGATATAACCAAAATCTATTAACATATACACATTATTAATGAGATATTTTACTTTATTTTTTTCATATGAAGACTTCAAAATTCCCTGTGTGGTTTACACTTACAGCTCATCTCAGTTCAGACCAGCCACGCTACAAGTGTTCAATAGCCACAGGTGGCTTGTGGTGACCGTACTGGACAGTGTGGCTCTCGGAGGCTCCACCAGTAGCTTCTCTGGGGGTGGGGGGTGGGAAGACACTGGTCTTGTCCAGTAGGAACTATCACCTCTGGTTGACCTCTGCTCCCCTGAAAACAATCACCTCTGTCAGATGGCACCCTATCTCCCTCTCACTCCCATAACTCTCACTCTGAAAAAAAAAAATGATTAACAACCTGGATAGGGTTTCTGCAAAGGGGCTTGTATCCTACTGCCTAATTTACTCCTTGTGCTTTTCCCTGGCTTGGCAACTGCCAATATTTTCTTTTTTTTTTTCAGTCTTTGCTGGGAAGGACAGAGGCAGACCACTGAGAGGCCACTTCAAGGCCATGACTACTGCTGAGCTTGTTTCTCCCACTCTTTCCGTGCTCAAATCTGAAAAGCAAGCCTCTCCGTCTTGGATTCTCTTCTCCCTCCTCGTGGAAGGCCTCTGCTGGCCCCATCCCTGCGGGCGTGGAAGCTCGGTTTGTGTGTATTGACAGGCTCCTGTCTTCTCGGCTATTTTCAGCTTTGTGGGTGTCTGTTTCACTCTCCCATCGTAATTAGATACCAGAAGAACAAGTCCTGAAGACCAGCTCCCTCTCTCCTCCTCTACTCACTCAGGAGTGGGAGAAATAATTTAGAATGTATGAGATGTCCAGGGTGAAGAGAAAATAAATCTACATAGGAAAGTCAGTCCAGAAGGGGAATCTCCTGGCACAATGTCCACCAGGTCCTTTCCAGCATCTTTAGTCTGAGAATGGCCTGGTCTTCTCAGAACTCAGTTTACTACAGCCCACGGGGCGCTTCTGTGTTGTTGAAGCATCCCAGACTTCAATGTCGTGTCTTCAAGGCGGATGGTGTTTGGCTTTTGTGCTAGTGGGAAGAGAAGAACCCTGGATTCTCTTTCCCTAGTCACCTGGGGAGTCAGGAACCAGATTCTGGGGACCCTGCCTTAGGAACCGCTTTTCCAGCTTTGCTAAGGAAAAAACTATTTGAGGTTGGTGGGGTCAAGAAGAAGGGCCATTCCGTACACAATCCGTCTAGCCTGATTAAAAAAATCGTAAGTTCGTGTGTCCCTCATTCAAACGACGGTAAAATGAAATACCGCGCCGGTCTGTCTGCCCGCACCTTGGAGCCTAAGAGCAAGTCATTTCTTCTCTATGGACCTCAGTGTCCTCTGGACCACGAGAGGAATGGAATCCGGGTCTCTCAAGCAGCCCTTCGAGATTGAACCTCAATAACTAAGGACCTTCCCCCACGTCTCCTGCTCGAAGATGGGGCAGGAGAGCCTTCGGAGACCCTCCCGAGAGGACCCCTCGGCTGACGAGCTGCCCCCATATGGCTCCCCCTTGGCAGGGCCGCGGCGGGGAGGTGCCAGGGCCGGGGGCGGGGCGAGGCCAGGGCTGGGGGCGGGCCCGGGGGC